TTTATTGTAATCTGTAAGAGTATATTAGAAAAAAATATAAATAAAATTTATATTTTCAACTATATTAATTATATTTTCTTAACCTGTGCGAAAATAAAAGCAATCATATCTTTATAAAACTAAGGTGTATTTGATTATATTGGATTAAATTACTATTGAATTTTTCAGGGCACTGAGAGAGCCATTCAAATTGGAATTTTAATATTCCACTCTCTTAAAGAGTTTAGTAATTCAAGTTAAAGGACTCAAAAATTGAACTACGAATTACTAAAAGAAACTTAATTTATAAGAGGGCGTCATAAATCATTTTTGTCCCTTCCTGTCATTTTACATTTATTTTTTATTTTAATATGGTGATTTTCAAGCTAGACATTGGTGCTTGTAAATTTAGCTTTCTTTTGATGACATTTACCTGTTATTTTCCAAGCACGTTTAACAGAAAATATTAAAAATTCAACATATTTAGTACTTCATATCAAATATACTTCACAAAGTTCTTGAAAATAATTCATCTCAACCAAAGTTTCGACAGACAACCCTGGGGTAGTTCAGTGGTCAGGTATTGAATTTGTTCCCCAATGGTCACCAATTCGAATCCTCTCTTGACCATTGAGGTGAGTACTCGACTGTAAATTTCAGGACCCCATGAGATTACTCGAGGTGCGCGTAAGTTGGCCCGGACACCCACGGTCATCCAAAAAAAAAAAGTTTCGATAACCAGATGGTTTTCAAATGAAATCATATGAACTGCAAAAACTTCAAAAATTTCAATTGACAACTGAAGACAAAACTACACTGCGATCAACTTAAGCAGAGAAAGTCGGCTTTGTTCCTGCCATACCATTCCCTCTACGACTAACGACTTCTTTGCCCTCCTAAGAATCACAGTAAAGGTCCATAAATTTCAAAGTCGGCACCAATAGGTCACATTACCGTGGATACGGCTAGAGCAAGAAGTATTCATTCTAGACAACTACAATCCAGAACATACAAGGACAGCCTGTATTATTCCAGCAGTTTAATTGAACTGGCGATAAGAACCCTCAGGAACAACAAGCATTTAGTTATGGAAACAACGCTCTTTACAAAAATAAAGCAAACTTGCTAGTCGAGTTTTGTGAAATCAAACCTTCATATGTTCAGGTGCAACAAAAAAGTGCCCAGAGTAGTTAACAGCTACACAAGTTCACAAAATCCAATAAAGTAGAGTATAACACATCCAGAGATAAATGACCTAAAAATTTCCTGCTTTCAGATTCACCGATTGAGAGGTCAGGATGAAGTTTGTGATTCTCGGTTATTCCATCATCGACCATCAACCACCATGAGATGCATCCCCTGGTATCTTCAGGGTCTACATGAGCCACTAGACTGGCTATTTCACCATGATCCAGTTCAAATGCCAACGATAAGAAGTCTCTAGTCACTTTAATACCGACAGTGAGGGCTTCCTCATGAAGCCACTGAATAACTTGACTAGCAACCTACGGTAGAGTTTATGACAACAATAATTAAAGCAATTTCCATATAACATTAATTATAATTAGTTCAATTAGCTGAATAGAGAGGTTATGCATTTCATAAGCACAAGAAAAATGTTGATACATGTAGTTTGCCTATCGAATTTTTATTTGAACTTTTTCCACTGATTGGACCTTACAGAGCATCCATCTGCCCAATCTCCACAAATGGCCAAAACAACAAGAACATGCCATTCTGACATATTACTTTTTTACTTTTAAATTTTTTTTTCCTTTTCAATTTCCTTCTCTTTCTTAGAAACCCTTTAGTACGATGAAGAACTAATCCACTTGCCAAAACAAAAGTATGATAGCAGAAGCCATGTTTCAAGATCATTCATATAAAAGTCTTATGTATCCAATATTAAGATACATAAAATAATGTTATAAAATAAAAAGGAAAAAAAGAAAATTGAAAAAGGTGATTATACAGATAAAACAAAATGTGATCGATTAATGTCACTTAGCGTTCCATGCATCTCCTACAAAGTGCACAAGAAGCATAAAGGATGACTAGATAGTTGTGATATCAATGGATGTACTGCATATGCAATGATATGCCTTCATATAAATCATTCAGGAAAAGCGTATGATTTAAAGATTACCTGCTGCAGGAGTATTATAGGAAGATCTGCCAAGTCACATTCGTATCTGTTAATAGGACAAATGCTCTCAGGCTTTCCTTTAAATAACCCAATAACGTTGAGATTTCCTTCCCCTTCCACGCTAATAGATTCATCAATTACCACCACCTTAGTCCAAAACTGAGATCTTACATTCTTCACATTGCTAATGCCAGATGACAGAATTTGGCTTCCAGCATGAAGAATCGACTGAGGAACCTTCATTGATAGAGTCCATGAAGATGTCCGAGAATGCCAAGTGGGATGAGATATCAACTGGACATACGGAGTTCTGCAAACCTTCAAGTGTGGTAATACATCAAAGATAAATATTATGTCCAGATAAAGATAAAACAGCCAATTATAAAATCTAAACAGAGTTTGCGAGGAAATATTCTTTTGTGAATAAAATGAAAAAATCTTTTCAAACAAAAATCTAAATGCTTTCTGATATATAGGATACATCAATAAGGAAATCAAGTGCATACCAGACTTTCAAGCTCTGACAGAACTTTGTTTGAGAAGATGCTGTGAGCCAGAGACATGCAGAAATGATCCAGAATATTTAAGTTGTCCTTGGATTGCTGACCAGATATCTTACTTCTAAAAGAAGATGAGGTCTTATCTTTTGCTCTCACAAACACATATTCATGAAACAGTTGTTGCAAATAAATCTCGAAACTAATTCGACTTGGAAACCCCAATTTCTTCACATTATCTTTTCCTTCTCTAAATTTTGACCAATCCGATAATTCTGAAGGTATGGTTTCAGTTTCTGAACTGTTTGTGCCTGATACACTGTCTGTCTTATTATCTAGACTGGATAGCAGAAGTAAAATTGAAACAGATGCTCCTTGATTAATGCTCAAGCGTAGATAGTTTTCTTGTATCCCAGTCAGATTTACACTTAGAGATGAATTACATGCTTCACGACTTACCAATTCAAACACCTATAACCAGGAATCAAGTATATGGTCAGATTATTACACAGATACAAGTAGAGAAGAAATATCTTGCTCATGATAGATTGAAAGAATGGATGATACGGAAGAATCCATAGATGTATGGATAAATATACAAGGAAAGGTGGAGGAGGAAAAAACAATTGTACCTGCTCATCAAAGATGGCTCGATGAACCTCACGGAGTAGTGAATGTGTTTTCCTCACACATTCATCATCATTAGCATGTTCTTTGTTAGTTTCTGTGGAAGAATCCTCAGAAAAGGCATGCATGTTTGTCTCACCGTATCTTCTCACATTATTAGCAGAATGAGAACCAAGAAACTCAAATCGAAGAGAGCGGCATGAATTTGGGGGCACATTCACAGCCAGCATTCCAGCTGCATCATGCTTGATCGGAATTGTAGACATAGAAGATGGGCGAAGTGACACAGACGTATCATACAATGTATTGTAAAATAAGTCAATGAAGAATCCCTCATTGCCAGAGGCAGCAGCCGCAGATCGATGTCGTTTAACTTTCCAATTTTGCTGCAATCTGTTTGTTCATTTATAAACATACCAAATAGAGTAAAATTGGGAGAATAAACAAGTGTTTACAGCAAGTGTAATGCATCTTATGATCTAAGACTCAGTAAATTTACAACTTGCAGAGGCATTCACACTCACCTAATCAGAGCACCATAAAATCTTGCTTCTCTAGCTACCTGCTTTTCTAATGCTGCTGCAGATTGCTTGAAATATTTTCCTAGATGCTGTGAATCAATACATGTAAGACAGCATATATTAGTAACATATATAATTTAAATGCAAAGTAATAGTCATCAACCACAAATTATATATGATAGCTTGCCAGAAAATATATAGACTACATTTTAAATGAATAACTAAATAAAAGACTATTCACTGCCTAACAATTGGGTAGAGTAGTTATTAATTATTTACAACTCAAGGGGCAAATTCATAACAGCAAAAGGGGAAGATAGAAGAATACCCGGAAGCACTGTAGCTTGGTCGCAGTAGATACAGCCAGATCAGACAAAAGCTCGTTTGGTAACTGCTTTGGCCTGGTCATGCCTGCAACCGTTACTGCATCATTTGCCTCTACCTATATGCAATATAATCTGTTTATCATTCTTCTGTATAGCATATTTCCTTTCTAATGGGTGTTTGCTAGCCAACCAAATCTAGAATGCTGCAATATAAGCCAATTAGAACCTGCGATTCCTATAATATCACTCAACTTCACCCTAGTTGGAACGTCTGATATAAAAACGAAACGTCTGATGAGTGTCTCAGTGTTATGTATAGTATCATTGAACAGAAATAGAAAAGCCTTGATAAATGGCACTCAAGTCATAAACTTGAGGTGCTTAATGAGGCCTCAAGTGAGCCATACCTCAAGGTGTAAGCTTCAGGCGCTTTCTAAGACAATCCTTGCATCATTCTTTTTTTAAAGTCATTTGTTAATTATTATCTTCTAGAATCCTACTGAGTTTAGGAGTCCTTGAGTCTTCATAAAGCATTTTAATGCTTTTAATACATAACTAAGAGGATTATAGAGTTTTACCGAGCTTCTGAAGCTTTAGGTTTACATGAAGCAATTTAAGTGACTTAAATTATCAAAACTCAAATATTCCTTTATAGTACCCAAATGCCGAATTATCCAAGATCTTGAAATACTTGGAAGAGAATCCAAAGATAAGACATCTAAAAGAATACAAACTTGAGACAATTCAGGTCCAGTTAATCTCTCTAAAGAGGTTGTATTTTAACTAAAAAGTAGTCCTTCATATTCACCTTTGCTCAATACTCTTGTTGTTCGCATCAAAATGCATACTAAAACATGCTTCAATGTAAAAATCAAAGTAAAACGAATTCAAAATCCAAGTCAAACCCAAATTTCCTCTTTAATAAGATTTCTTCATAAGGACCTCAAAAATCAGATAATAAGAAGTAAAATACAAACTAATTCTAATTGGAAGGGAAAAAAAAATAAATACATAAATAAAAGCCAGAAATTTATAATTAAGTTCTAATGCAAATAAGTAAAATAACGTACCGTGTTGATGAGATCGATGATGACAGAGAGCTCTTGCTGAGCAAACTGCAGATTTTCCACTAGGCTTTGCCATTGCCCTGTATGCTGATTGGTGGTTGTACTCTCATTAGTAGAAGTTGTACCTTCATTCTTCCGCTTCTTACTACGATCCTCCCTCTCCACTGCCCACCCAAAGTCTATTCTCCTAATCAAATTAAGCCTCTTCTCATCATAATCCACATCACTGCCACAAATACATATAAATACATTATGAAAACTATGAAATAATTAGATATACATACATAAATGTGTAAATATATGATCAGAATTCATACGAAGGAAAGCGTTCGGTGCCGTTTTCTTCAATAGCATCCAGGCGTTTGATTGGGAGTTTGTCAATCGATATTTCAATATCTCCATCCATTTTCTTCTTGCTGGGAGAATGTGAATTGGAGCCTCCTGCGGATGCTGCCGTTGGATGGAGAAGTAGGGGGTGGCTGGTGGTGATTGGTGAGGTCAGGTAATTGACAGGTGATTTGGACGGAGAAGTTGGGGATTTTTCGAAATTAGATTTAAGCTGAATAGCCTGAATTTGGGTTTGGGCAGGTTTAAATGGGGAATTTAGACCAGTGGAATTACATATTCTAAATTAAAAATGTTCATTTCATAAATAAGATTTCATGTTTAACATTTCACAAATCAAAATTTTTTTAATGAATTAATATATTTAAAATTTTTAATAAATAATAATTTCAAACCCTAATTTATTCATTTTCTTCCTCACTCTCTCTCTCTCTAAACCAGCGAACCACTCACTTCGCCACCTCACCTATCAACAACTCTCTCCACCGCCTCACCGAGAACCTCTCAATCTTAGAGCATTGGTGCCGGAGTGAAGCCACTAGTAGCCGTCGGAGTGAAGCAGTGTCATGACTACCTCACGTTCCTCCCTCTCCTGGAAGCCACTCGAAGTGAATCATGACTATCACGCGCACCACCGACGCAACGTGTATCTAAATGTGAGAGACGATGTGATGTGGTGCTGTGTGTGTTGTGATTGTGTAGTGTCGTGGGCTGTGTGGTGGTGGCGGTATTGAGCTGTGTTGTGACGTGGGATATGGGAGAGGTGGTGGTGCGCGTTGCGGTGTTGTGTAAGGGCGGTGGCTGGGTATGCTGTTGTGCGGTGGTGCGGTGGAATTGGCTGCCGACTGGTTGTTGAGAGATGGTAGGTGGCTTTGTGGTGGCAAATCTGATGGTTTAGTGATGTTTGGCGAATCTGGTGATTTGATGGCGTAGAACGTGGCTATAGTGGCGTAGATCATGGTGTTGATTTTTTCTTGGTTGTTGGATGTGGTGCAGACGGTGGCAGCAACGTTGGCATCGATCGGGTAAATCAATAGTGCCTATGACCAGTAAATTACTTGACTTTGTTGTGGTGACGGTGGTAGTTGTGGTGGTCGTGGTAATTTGGTTGATTTTGTGACAAATAATTGGACCCGTGATCTAAAAATTGTGATTGTAACTCACAATTTGAGAGTCACAGTTGGTCGCGGAGGTGATTGTGGTGGTCGTGGCAGTTTGGTTGATTTGTGACTCACAATTGGATACGTGATCTGAAAATTGTGACTGTGACTCATAATTGGATACGTGACCTAAAAATTGTGACTGAGAATCGTAAGTACTGTGGCGGTCACAAATTATTTAGTTGACTGTGACTATTAAAATGATTAATCTGTGACCAATAATTAATATGTGACCAATGAAAAAAATAAATTGTGATCGGAAAATAATGTATGACCTAAAAAATTGTTAATCTGTGACCGATAATTTTATAATTTGTGACTGTACAAAAAGTTGTGAAATGTAATATTTGTAATTTGTGACCACTAAATAAATCATGACTTATAAATTTTTCGATTTGTGACCAATGAACAAACTATGACTTCTAAATTTTTTGAATTGTGATCGTACAATAATTTGTGATATAAAATTTCAGATTTGTGAAAAAAAAAAAATAAGTGACAAATTAAATCGTTAATTTGTTACCAAATTATATAAATATGTGACTTCAATAAATTTAATTACTAAAATAAATAATTAATTAATTAAATGATAAATAATTTTTAATAAAAATCTGATTTTTGAAATTTGAAACTTGTTTTCTTGTTTTTAAAATGTGTCATAATTAATCTCTTATGAAATTTTCCCTTTAGACAAAGAACATTGAGAAGTTAATTGTTCGAATAGTCACTGAACTTAGTTTCATGTTTTTAATTGTCATTGAAGTTTAAAATGTCGAATTTTGGTTATTGAACTTAGATCCATGTCTTTGATTGCTCACTGAAATTTAAAATGTCGAGTTTTGATCACTGAACTTTAAAAAATGCTGTACATTACTCACTGAATTTTGAAAAATGTTGTATATTACTCACTGGACTTTGAAAAATGCTATACATTACTCATTGTAAACTTGATATTTTTCAAAATTCAACAGTTATGCTAGTGAGTAACGTACTGCATATTCTCAAGTTCAGTGGCAAAAACTCGACATGTTAAATTTTTGTGAGCAATTGAAAACACCTAAGTTCAGTAAGCAATCGAAAACATGAACCTAAATTCAATGACCAAAACTTAACATTTTAAATTTCATTGACCAATTAAAGACATGAACTTAAGGTCAATAACAATTGGAACAATTAACTAAATATTGAGATCATTTTGATGGCACGCAATTAATTAAATTACGCTTTGATTTACTGCAACTAAAACCACATTAAGGGCTTTGATTTTGAAAAGTTAAAAGTAGATTTTAAAATCTGAAAGCTAGTTTTGAAATTGTTTAATTAATTTTATGAAGTGATTCTTTTAATTAGAAGAGTAAAGAGTTTATAGAGAAAATTTGTCTAATGTAACTTCTTTTAAAAGCACTTTGAGAATAAGAAACTCTTTTAAAAATCAAATTTCAAACAAAAATAAAGACAGCTTCCTCAAAAAAAATTTATATAGAAAGAAAAAGAAAAAATCATGTCAAACGAGTCCTAACTATTGTTAAAAGCATCTAAGTCACACATAAATTTGGAGTCAATAATTATGTGGACTTCAAATTAAAAGGAATAATGATATCTAGTGCTGATGAATGTAACACTATATGATGGTTCAATTAAATGTGAAATTATATGATTCATTGAATATATAATTTAATATCACTAACCCTGTCTTCTAAACTGATGTTAAACACCAATGATATTAAATAGTGCTACTCAATTAAAATAGAAGAAAACGGTGAATATGCCATATCAAAGAAAATAATATTATTTATAGTGATGACTATTAGTAATCACCCTACATGGCGTACATATGGTAGTTTGTTATTTCATGTATTAATGTGGTAATTTTTATTGCACCATGTATCAGATAAAAAATTGTCACATATATGCCACATAGGAACACTATTGATAGTCATCAAGATGGATAACATTACTCCTCCAAGGATGGGGATTCGATCATTAGTGTTTAATGAGGTCCAAAAAGAAAGCAATAATATTTGTTTCTTTTATTTTCTTTCTATGATAATTTTCCTTTAATTCTCCGTGGTTCAGTAATTAGCATTGTCTTCAAATTATTTCTTTTTTTCTCTACGCTAATCTCATCAAATTCATTCATCGATATTGAGAATTTTGAGGCCTTACGAGACTCATTATTATGAGAACCCTAAACGTAATTTTTTCAAGTGTAAAAAAAATTTAAATATATAGATAAGTGATATGTTTATGTTTTAAACGAAAACTTAGTACAATCCAAAAGATAGATTAGCAAAAAAAATTGTCACTAACAACTCAAGACAATAGGGCAACATAGTATTTATCAGAATTTAGGGATATCAATTTGACTCGCTAGCTCGAGGGGCGAGACTCTGCCTGAAAAAGTTCGAACTTATCCACCTCGTGGCACAAAGAAATCTAGCCGAGCCTCATTTTTGGGCATCAATTCAAGCATGAGCAGCCACACAGGCTAGCCCATGAATAGCCACACAATCATGGGCCAAAATGCTACATATAATGCAGACAATTAAACATGGGCAGCTATGCTGCCTCTTCAAGCAGTCGTAGTTGCTTGAAACAAGCGACTGTTGCCTTAAAAATAGGCGGTCGTTTATATCCCTAGCATAATTATTCCCTCGATAAAAAAAATATTATCAGAGTGTAAGTAATAATCCCCGTGAATTATTAATTGAGAAACTTGAGTTCGGTGCAATTTAGTGAATTTTAGAAAGTTTAAGGAGTTTTCGAGAAAGTTTTAAGAGTTATAGTTTAAAGTCTTGAGAGTATTGTAAGAATGACTCGTGAGAAGGAGAGTCATAATGTGATGAGTTCAGATTATTTACTCTTGAGAAACATAACTAGATTTCAAGAATTTTGATTCGAGAACCTTTTAATAATTTTGAGATATTGAGGTATTAAAGTGAAAATAAATTTCGAAATTAATAATGCTAGTGTTTATTGGAGGATCGAGAATTATAGTACCATTATTGAACTTATTTCGAAACTCGTAATAAATAGCACATTATGAACTANCTTTAAATTGTTTTACACGGGTCTCGTTTGTACTTCTTAAAATAGTTTGAATTCTAGATGCAATTGTTTATATTATTATATTTCTTTTCTATTTATTTATTTAAAGAAGAGGGTAAATTAGTCATTTTACAAATTTTTTAATTAAGAAAATAGATGATAAGGACATTTGAGTATCCAAATGTCGAAATTGAAACTATATGGACGATTTGCGTAATGAAGGAAAACGATAAAGACTTTTTGCGCCAGTTACATACATTTAACGTAAGGGTTTAACGAAATATGACGGAAGGGACCGGTTCCACAAGAAATGTTTGAAATGAGTGTATAAATGTTAAATTTGAAACGATGGAAAATATTTTTGCAATGAGTGCAAAAATAGGGATGCTTTCTTTTTCCTAATTACCCATATATGTATTATGTGGTTTGTATACGTAGAGTGAGAGAGTTTTGTGTAGAGAGAGTGTGTTCTATCAAGAGAGCTTGTTGAGAAAGAAGAAACTTATTATGGAGCGGGATGATGGCGTGGAGTGGTGTGACCCATGCTCAAATGTTTAAAAAGTATGGCGGGTGGTTGTAGTGAGGTGTACAATATATTTTTAAATTTAAAAAATAATTGTAAACTAATATTTGAAAAAATAACAATTATTATCTAATTTTTGAAATTGAAAATTAAAATGTGGGATTTAGGGTATTTTTCTCATAAATTAGCCACCATTTCCATTTGAATACAAAATTTATTTTGAAAATTTGATTGATATCTAACTATAAAATCAAAAACTGAAATATACTGGTAGTGTCTATAATTTGGGGGGTTTATGTTGCAATTAAATCCCAAACCATTACAATTAGTAGGAAAAGATGAAATTGTAGGATACTTTCGTAACTTGAACGAGGAAAATGTATCCAAACAAAACGAGGCAACAATTCTAAACAACCAAAAAAAAAATTTAGAAAGAAAAAAATGAGGCGTTACTATTGACATACGAACATCATGATATTCGCATGAAGAAATATTACCAAGATAGGCAAAGGAGTATCAAATAAAGATAACACATAAACGACGAAATTTCTTTTTATTTATTTATTATTATTATTATTTTTTTGGGAGGTTCGGAACTAA